CATCATTCAGGCTACCATTTTCCATTTACATGAGAAAGCCCACATTTACTAGAACATAATTGTATTCATGTTAGTTGAGTTAAATCCTTAAAAGGAGTCTGATGAAGTTAATACCCACATCAATATGAAATACTTTACTACAGGGTAACCACATAAGCTGAACATATAATGTATGTAAGGCTATGTTTTCAGAAAAGACCATTCCAGGGCTTGCTCTGCAAATAAATGCAGGTTTTATTAGGACACCTATGCATGCACTTCACTGTGCATTACTTTGTACATGTATTGCAGTGTGCTGAAGTACAGGTGCATTGCTTCATACTGTACATGGGCTCTGGGGTGGGTTAATGCACCACAATTCACATACACAATGGGGGGAATTTATCAAAACTGGAGCAGAGAGAATCTGGAGCAGTTGCCCATGGCAACCAATCAGCATCTCTCTTCCGTTTGCTCATAAGATTTGAAAATGAGACAGAGACGTTGATTGGTTGAGTGCAAATCTGCTTCCGTTTTGAATTCCCCCCAGTGTGTTGTAGCTGATTGCAGTGTAGCACAAGTGAAGCATGTCCTACTCATTCTAAAAAACTAATACAATTTGGGTCTCAAACCTTTTTCAAGCTATACTTTAAGACCACACTTGAAATCTTCTATCAAAAAAGACCCAGCAAACTGAGAGGATGCATATGCCTCAACCCCTTACAGGATTGTTACTAGCAATTTTTGAGCTGGCTGTAAACTATACTATATTACCAAAAGTATTGGAACACCCCTCCAAATCATTGGATTCAGGTGTTCCGTGAAATTCCTTGCTACTAAATATTCCACGGTCAACTGTTAGTGGTATTATAACAAAGTGGAAGCACCTGGGAACAACAGCAACTCAGCCACGAAGTGGTAGGCCACGTAAAATGACAGAGCGGGGTCAGCGCATGCTGAAGTCAATAGCTACAGACCTCCAAACTTCATGTGGCCTTCAGATTGGCACAACAACAGTGTGTAGAGAGCTTCATGGAATGGGTTTCCATGGCCGAGCAGCTCCATCCAAGCCTTACATCACCAAGTGCACTGCAGAGCATCGGATGCAGTGGTGTAAAGCACGCCACCACTGGACTCTAGAGAAGTGGAGACGTGTTCTCTGGAGTGATGAATCACGCTTCTCTGTCTGGCAATCCGATGGACGTGTCTGGGTTTGCCGGTTGCCATGTGAACGGTACTTGCCTGACTCCATTGTGCCAAGTGTAAAGTTTGGTGGAGGGGGGGATTATGGTGTGGGGTTGTTTTTCAGGGATTGGGCCTGGCCCCTTCATTCCAGGAAAGGGAACTCTTAAGGCATCAGCACACCAAGACATTTTGGACAATTCCATGCTCCCAACTTTGCGTGAACAGTTTGGGGATGGCCCCTTCCTGTTCTAGCATGACTGTGCACAAGTGCAAAAAGCAAGGTCCATAATTACATGGATGAGCGAGTTTGGGGTAGAGGAACTTGACTGGCCTGCACAGAGTCCTGACCTCAACCCGATAGAACACATTTGGTATGAATTAGAGCGGAGACTGCGAGCCAGGCCTTCTCGTTCAACATCAGTACCTGACCTCACAAATGCGCTTCTGGAAGAATGGTTAAACATTCCCATAGACACACTCCTAAACCTTGTGGACGCCTTCCCAGAAGAGTTGAAGCTGTTCTAGCTGCAAAGGGTGTGCCACCTCAATATTGAACCCTACGGACTAAGACTGGGATGGCATTAAAGTTCATGTGCGTGTAAAGGCAGGCGTCCCAATACTTTTGGTAATATAGTGTATATACTACATGTGCCTATTTTAATTTGGGGGGGAGCAACCATATTCACTTATATAAAATGCCCAACATGCAATACTTTTAGCTTTGGCTGGATTGGATGAGATTCTTCTCAACAGACATCCTATGGAGAATTCCAAGGCTAAGGGGAATACCCTTAAAGTGGACCTGCCTGTGCAGAAAAATGCTTGTGGTGTGTACATATAGTGAATATCGTTTTCTGTGCGCTGAGCAAACTCTATGCAGACATCTCAAATTTTGCCCCTACTCGGGGCTATGATCCCCCCACCACCACCACGCTAGTTTGTGTCCTCCCGTTACCCTAAGGAGAACTATGGGGAAAAGCCCTAACCCCATAGTTCTCCTTTAAGCACAGTCAGTATCTGCAGAAAAAGCTGACAGGTTATACGCGGGCTTGATTGACAAAACCAAAAGGTAGGATACGGTACCTAATGATGCCTGCTACTGAAACAAAATGCTGGATTAAATAATATTGTATAAGGATAGGTTCATACCATTATGTCATATTAGCTGCATGGGGTTGCACCTCTTGCAGAGCATTACTGATTATGTCAGTGGCAAGACTAAATGTATTTTTAGATAAGGCTCAGGTGTAAAAGCGGTTAAAATCTTTTTGAAACAAGCTCTCATTCATATATGTAACTCTAAACATTGTGAAGAAAATACTTTTCAACATAGACACCGTGTTTTTCATTGACAACAAAAACTTGCAAGTCCGCCAGCCTTCCAATGTAAATGTGTAGAAGGTAACATTAGCATGTAAGATTCTAACCTTTCTTAACAGCTGCTGGTCAGTGAACGGAATTCTCAACGTGCCAACATAAAAGTGCTACAGAAGTATATTTGATCAGGCCAGCTCAGATAAGAATCTTAGTTGCCCTGAAATTGGTCCAAAAAATAGGGATCAGACACCATCAGCCACTAGGTAGGGGGAGCTTTTACCATAACGTACAAGTATTCACAGCATGCTTGCACATTATGACACATTTACCTAAGAGAATGCCCTTCTCCAGCAATGAAACATCCAGGCTCTCCGTTGCTGCCACCATCTTTCCCACCACTTTTTCCAGCCAGGAATGTGTCAGGAATGTACACGGTATGGTGCATGTGTCATAGAGCATAATGTACAAACATATACATGTCTCTTCTGCCAAAATACCTACCTCCTAGCATATTTTTTATGAGAGTTTCATTTGTCTTTAAAGAACATGTTTAATTCTAGCACACCTTATCACATGTGGGCACATGCACACGCAAATAGTATGCAGGAACTTGCTGGCAGAAGTAATGTGCAAAAAGTGCTCTGTAGGCTATATGCATGTAGCGTTTGTGCAATGTTTACAAGCGTACAGTGCAAAGGTGCCCTATAGGACATTAAGCACCTCAGTGGCCTGCATCCTAGCAACAAAGAACACTAGGTGGCTCAAGCCACCTACATCCTACCAACAAAGGACACTAGGTGGCTCGAGCCGTTTACATTCCAGCAACAAAGGACACTAGGTGGCTCAAGCCACCTACATCCTACCAACAAAGGACACTAGGTGGCTCGAGCCCCCTACATTCCAGCAACAAAGGACACTAGGTGGCTCAAGCCACCTACACCCTACCAACAAAGGACACTAGGTGGCTCAAGCCACCTACATCCTACCAACAAAGGACACTAGGTGGCTCGAGCCCCCTACATTCCAGCAACAAAGGACACTAGGTGGCTCGAGCCGTTTACATTCCAGCAACAAAGGACACTAGGTGGCTCAAGCCACCTACACCCTACCAACAAAGGACACTAGGTGGCTCAAGCCACCTACATCCTACCAACAAAGGACACTAGGTGGCTCGAGCCCCCTACATTCCAGCAACAAAGGACACTAGGTGGCTCAAGCCACCTACATCCTACCAACAAAGGACACTAGGTGGCTCGAGCCCCCTACATTCCAGCAACAAAGGACACTAGGTGGCTCAAGCCACCTACACCCTACCAACAAAGGACACTAGGTGGCTCAAGCCACCTACATTCCTGCAACAAAGCTGTCTGGACGCAGACAGCTCCAATAAAATGCATTTGTGCTGTATGCATGTAGACATTAGCACAAACGTTTACATGCATACAGCTTAAATATGGTCCTCAGAAGGCGATGATTCTTTTTTGATTTTACAGATGTGAAGACAGTGCAATCCTTTTTATTCAGCTTCCTTTAACAGGCCCTGCAGCTGCTCTGATTAAGGCCTGAATGTGGAACCTTTCCCCTTTAGGGTCACCAGAAAAAAATATGTCATTTGTA